AGAGCCTTTGGGACACCCAGTACATTACAAAAATATTTTTAAAATGTGCGCTCGGTAGGCGGCGGACAATTGAATAACCCTGTATACGTTACGGGGGTTGTGTGCAAAGTAACAACAGCATTCAAATAATTACTCTTTAATAGATAAACATCACATGACCAATAAAGCAGTATACAATCACAATTAAGTTGAGAAAACGGTTAAACAATAAATTAAATACGAAAATGTGTTTAAAGCATTAAGAAAGCATTCGGATTACTCATTAAATGATTTGCTTCATCATCACCACTCTGGTGGAGTGTTTATTAGCCTCAAGGGAATTTTCGCAGTTCGATAATACATTCCCTTGCCGAAGTCGTCCGCTAATTATATTAATTCTTAACAGTAGGTACATACGGGCTAGAGTTTAGGAACTTACAGGCTAATCATTTCAACAACAAAGGAACGCACCAATTACCGCAACTGTGCGCACAAAAGTGCACTCTCCACGTGCTCCTTTTTCCAAGATCGTTGTACTTTTTTCACAATCATCACAGTTTCCCTGCTTTGATTCAGAAGCCTCTAGTGTCTAGTTGAGGGTTCAGATCGGTGACACCTCTTGATGTTGCTGCAAGCGAAAGAACTCAATCAACAACAATTTCTACCACAATTCGACCAGTTTAGTACTACTAACTACTCAAAACTGGGAGCGCTACATTAGGCAATGAACATAAGATCAGTATCTACCCTACTAAGTTATCTATCTAGGTTTGCATGCATTTCTCTTCTTCTCGCCCAATCTGCTGATTGTGAAAACAAATAATATCATCTGCACAAAATTCCCATTTTTTACCCAACTTTTACATAGAGGAGCATAGAGAAAGTCTAAGTACGGTGTTAATCAGTGAGTAAAGGATATGCAACACATTAGTGGATCTGGATAGGCTTTGGGCCGATACTGATCATCATTCACTACCTAAGGCTGCTCACACACGAGCGAACTGTCACGAGCACAAGCACGGGCAGTCGTCCTGTTGCGAGTACGCGTGCCTGTGGCGACGTCTAGCGGTACAAGCGGGTACGTACGCTGTTGAAATGCGATGTTGCGTCACTCCCGAGTCCTTCGACGATGACGTGGCACGTTGCGATTGGTGGCTTTGTCCTCGGCTGCTCGATGACATCGGCCTTGTTGACGAACTGCTCAATGTGCCTTTAACATAAAGAAACTCGAGTCAGTATCAACGTAGAGTTGCGGTGAGCGCGCAAAAAAGCGGCAGCGGCAACGCTGCCAGTGAGAAGAGGATCGAAGGTTCGAGACAGCCCGTGACGGGTTTGGAATAGAGCATGTTCCGAAATTCACAGAAGATTCGAGCGTTGCCAACAGCTACATAAAGCGAGCGCGAAGCGCCCTAGAGTTAGTTATCGAGCTATTGAGCTATCGAATATAGCTATTCAGTTTTTCTCTATACGACTGTCTATACGAAAATTACAAACAGTTATTCTTCTAATCAGTAAAAAGTCCCCAAAATCTACACTGCCGAAATTTTTTAAGCTCAAATTTTAAAAATTCATGAAAAATCCCTTGAAAATGCGTCCCTAATGTAATTTACCTTTCAGCATAGAGCCGGGTTTTCTCTATTTAGTAGTGTGAAAATTACCGCTCTAGCTCCAACCACTCGTGAGCAAATAATTTCTGAACAAACAGCGGTAACAAAAGCAAATTTCAATTGTGTAAAATTTCGAAAATCGCCGAGAATTCCTTGAAATTGACTTTCTGACGCAACTTCTCTGTAATCTAGAGACTTTTTGGATCTAACCAGTAATGCGAAAATTTCCTCTCTAGCTCTAACCACTTGTGAACACATAATTTTTAGCAAACAGCGGTAATGAAAACAAATTGCAAGTGTGTTAAATAAAAAAAATCTCCAAAAATTCCTTGAAATTTACTTTCTAACGCAACTTCCGTGTAATCTAGATACTCTTTGGGTCTAATCAGTAATGCAAAAATTTACTCTCTAGCTCCAACCACTTGTGAGCAAATAATTTTTGACGAAACAGCGATAATGAAAGCAAATTGCAAATGTGTAAATTTAAAAAATCTTCAAAAATTCCTTGAAATTAACTTTCTAACGCAACTTCTCTGTACTCTAGAGACTCTTTGGATCTAACCAGTTATGCAAAAATTGCCTCTCTAGCTCTAACCACTTGTGAGCAAATAATTTTTGAGCAAACAGCGATAATGAAAGCAAATTGCAAATGTGTTAAATTTCGAAAACCTTCAAAAATTCCTTGACATTGACTTTCTAACGCAACTTCTCTGTAATCTAGAGACTCGTTGGATCTAACCAGTCATGCAAAAATTTACTCTCTAGCTCTAACCACTTGTGAGCACATAATTTTTGAGCAAACAGCGGTAACAAAAGCAAATTACAATTGTGTTCAATTTAAAAAATCTCCAAAAATTCCTTGAAATTGACTTTATAACGCAATTTCTCTGTAATCTAGAGACTCTTTGGATCTAACCAGTTATGCAAAAATTTCCTCTCTAGCTCTAACCACTTGTGAGCACATCAGTTTTGAGCAAACAGCGGTAATGAAAGCAAATTGCAAATGTGTTAAATTTAAAAAATCTCCAAAAATTCGTTGAAATTTACTTTCTAAAGCTACTTCTCTATAATATAGGGGCTCTTTTGATCTATGCAGTGATGTAAAAAAAAATTCAGCTTTGACCAGGTGTGAACAATTAATTTTTGAGGAAACAGGTGCAATATAGCGGCAAATTCAATTTAGAAAATTCCCCAAAAA